TTCAATCTCTTTTTCTTATTCCCAAAGTGCATTATGCAGGGTTCTCAATCTTTCAGTGGTGGTTCTCCTGTAAATAACCCTTCATTTTGTTTGGCAAAGGCAGTTTCTGAATTAAGTCTATTCTGGTATACTGACGTATAACAAAACGACACAGGTAGTGCAAAGAACGCACCTGCGTGAACCGGGGCGCTGGGCTGGTCAGTCTGACAGGGTAGGTTGCAGATCCAGGCAACCGAGACCTTGAATTACAGAAAGCTCCGTGTTCAGAGTCCCTGACTGAATGTTCAATTAGGTCGACTATGGATGTATGTCCTTCCACATCTGGTTGTTCATAAAAGCTAAACCTACCATTTGAGTGCTCGATTCTAGTGTGAAGTGTCTTCCCATGGGAGCGAAAGCTCAAGCTTAAAAGATAACCGTCACCAGAACTGTCCGGAACAAGGAAAGAACCATGCTGCACATTCGCTAGCTTCCCCTCAGCCCCCCAGCTCGTGATCGGTCCCCAGCACCATCCTTGTTTTGCACGTGTTTCCAGCTCCTCTGTAAGGCTTGTCACAACCACGGGCCCGCTACTTTGCACTGAGGCATACACTCGTGCAACCCCAGGAGCAGAGTTAGGATCAGAATTCAAATGACAGCGCATACTTTCAGCCACGTGGACATCTGTGCCAGTGAGCCCACCGAAGTTCCTTTGGATCTGATTGTTCTGCCTTGGAGGTGGCGACGGCGACAGTGGAGGAGCGTCATCGTGACCCGCTCTGGGGCTCTGCAACACGACTCCTGCGGTGGCAACCAACGAGCCGTTCACGGGCTGCCCCACAGAGCTCTCCGGGCCGCGACTAGGTCCTGGCCTACCTGATTCTCACCTTCAGGGAGAGGGCGCCCTCCCACTGGAGCAGGAGCGCAGAGGCCTCCGCGGGAGAAGAGCTGTCGGGACAATAGCTACGCGACCCTTCCAGAGGATGCATGCCCTCGTCTAAGGGCACGGCGTGCTGGACGCAGTCCTGCGGCGTCAGTCCGACAACTACAGGCACCTGTTCATCCAGGTGGAGATGCAAGTCTCCGATCCGAGACGCTGGACCCCTGCGTGAGGCAGCCCGCCCCTGGCGCGCAGGCTCAGGCCCCAGGCGGGAAGGTCTCCGCGAGCAGCGCCCAGTGCGGGCCGCGCACCAGAAGGGCGCGCCGAGGCCCGGCCCCTGCCCCGCATTTCCACGCACGCCGGCCCAGGGTCTGCGCACGGGAGAGGCCGAGCCGTGCCTTGGCTTTGGTTCTGCAGAAAGCCTGCTGTGCAGTGTGCCCGCTGGGCTTTCAGGTTTGCATCCGGTTTTGCCGCCCTTTCGTCTTCGCTGTTGGTGTCGCGGCTGGCCATGCCTTTGCCGCAGCAGCCACCAAACAAAGAACCGTCTTCTCCAAAGTCACCGGCTGGTGATGGCTGCTTTGCTGCCATGAAGTCAGTTTCTTCTTTACCTCTATTCATGGAAAAAGATTTCCGGAAGGTTTTAACACTGATTTTCTTCATCACGGCTAGTCACCAATCCAAGCGGACCAACCTCTCTGAGACATGGTCCCCAACAGCTGCGAGGCTGCAACGCTGAGTCTGTGCGTTTTCCAGCCTCACTTAACCTTCCGAGCCATTTCCGCCCGCTTCTCGCCGCGGCGCGCTCTGCCGGCCCGCTTCCTCGCCCGCGCGCCTCCACACGCTCTCCTGCTACACCCGCCTCCCTCCGCCTTCTCCTCCACGCGGGCGGGGCGCGGTGTGGAGGGGGGGCGCGGTGTGGCGGCGGGGGCGGGCGGTGGAGATTGGGCGGGGCGAGGCGGGGCGCGTGTGGGCGCGAGTGTGGAGCAGGGGTGAGATGTGGAGGCGGGGCGGGGGCCACCGGTGTGGGCGGGGCAGGGTGGTGTGGGCGGGGCCGGGGGGGCGGTGGGTGAGGTGCAGGGCGGGCGGGTGTGGGCGGGGCGGGCCGGGCGGTTGTGGGATGGATGGGGCGGGACGCGGTGTGGCGGGTCGGGGCGCCGGTATGGGGCGAGGCAGGCGCGGGGCGAGGTGTGGGGCGGCGCGGCGGGCGCGGGTGGCGCGGGGCGCCGGTGTGGGGGCGGGTGCGGCCGGGTGTGGCGGGCGGGCGGCGGCCGGTGTGCGGGCGGCGGCGGTGTGGCGGGCGGTGTGGGGCGGGCGGGGTGTGGGGCGGGGCGGCGCGCCGCGCGGTGTGGATGGGATCGGGGACGCGGTGTGGGCGGGTCCAGCGGCGCGGCTGTGGGGCGAGCAGGCGGCGGGGTGTGACGGCGCGGGTCGGGGCGAGGTGTCGGGCCGGCGGGGCGGGGGGCGGCGGTGTGGGCGGGGCGAGGTGTGGATGGGATGGCGCAGGGGCGAGGTGTGGGGCGGGTCGGGGAGCGGTGATGGGGCGAGGCAGGGCGGCGGGGTGTGCGAGTGGCGAGGTGTGCGGGCGGGCGGCGGTGTGGGCGAGGGCAGGCGGGGCGGGTGTGGGCGCCGGCGGGGCGAGTGTGGATGGGATGGCTGGCACCCGGCGGAGCGAGGTGGGCGGGCGGGGGCAGCGGTGTGGGACGGTCGGGTGCGGTGTGGCGGCGAGAAGGTGGGCGGTTGGGTGGGCGGGCCGTGTGGGGCCGGGGCCCGGGGCGGGGCGCGGTGTGGCGGGCCTGGGGCGCGGTGTGGCATGGCGGGGGCGGTGGGGCGGGGGCGGGGCGCGTGTGGCGGGGCAAGGCAGGCGGGCGCGGCTGCTGCGGGCGGGCTGCGCGTGTGGCGCGGCGGCGCGGTGGGGCGGCGCGGCGGGCGGGTGTGGGTATGGGGGGGGGGTGGGGGTGTGGGCGGGCGGGACAGGCGGTGGGTGTCGGGGCGCGGCGGGACACGGGGGGGCGCGTGTGCGGCGGGGCGGCGGGCCATTGTGGCGTGCGCGGGTGGGGTGCGGCGGCCGGGCGGGGGGGCGCTGCGGTTGGCGGGGCGGACAGGCGGGGGCGGGCGGGTGCGCGCGCCAGGCCGTGGGCGCGGGGCGGAGCCTAGTCCTGCTCGTGTGGGTCGCACGGGACGCCAATCAAACACCACAAATCAGGACACTGTTTGTCGTTGTTGCTTTGAATCCTGTGAACGATCTTTCCTTGATTTTAAAGACCTCACGCCCGGCTCGGGACACAGTTGCTGTGTGATTTGGCCCGTAGTTTCCATTGTGTTTGTTTGCTGTCATGGTGTCTTACACTACAGGAGATACATACTGGGCTTTTAGTTTTGTTTGCTTTGAGTAAGGTAGATGGATGTTTTGGCCATTATAATGCGAAACCACTTCTTCCTTTGCAGTGTTTGACCAAGTTTGTGTGTCTGTGAGATTTGCAAACGCACGCGACACCTGTATTTCATATCGTAAGTCTGTTTAGTTTTATTCTCAGTAGGGCTTTTGGATCGTACAGTGTTATATGGTCTGAAGTCCTTAGACACGAGGAGGTGTGCATGTTAATCCAATTATGGGCTCAAAATATTTTAAAAGATAAGTACCCTTATTTGCTGCAAAGACCAGTATGTAGACATTTGCTTTTTAGCAATGTGTTTAAGTGCTCCGTTTTAATGCCAACGACTAAGTGTTCTGGCAACACAGACTGGTCAATAATGGGTGACACAGGCATGTTCAGCTTAAGCCAACAGTGTTCTGCATTTCTGTGCTTCTTTTCTGTCAACACTGATGAGGTCAACATTGCCTGAATGTTCGAATAAGGAAACACATCCTGTTTAAAAGTATGTAACTGAAAAAGAAATAAAGGTAGTTTTTTTAAACTTAAAAAAAAAAAAACTTGGATGTCCATTAGAATTAGAAACACTTGGAGATCTTTAAAAAATATATACATGCTACTCCTTCACCCAAGGCCGAGAGAATCAGATGCTTTCTCTTTTTGTTCTGTGTGTGTCTGTGTGTCTGTGTCTGTGTGTGTCTGTATGTGTATCTGTGTGTGTCTGTGTGTCTATGTCTGTGTGTCTGTGTGTGTGTCTGTGTCTCTGTGTGTGTGTCTCTGTGTGTGTCTGTGTCTGTGTGTGTGTCTGTGTATCTGTGTGTGTCTGTGTGTCTGTGTGTGTGTCTGTGTGTCTGTGTGTGTGTCTGTGTGTCTCTGTCTGTGTGTGTGTCTGTGTGTGTCTGTGTGTGTTTGTATGTGTGTGTCTGTGTGTCTGTGTGTCTGTGTGTGTCTGTGTCTCTGTGTCTGTGTGTGTGTCTGTGTGTGTGTGTTTGTATGTGTGTGTCTGTGTGTGTGTCGTGTCTGTGTGTCTCTGTGTGTGTCTGTGTGTCTGTGTGTGTCTGTGTGTGTGTGTTTGTATGTGTGTGTCTGTGTGTCTGTGTGTGTCGTGTCTGTGTGTCTGTGTGTGTGTGTCTGTGTGTCTGTCTGTGTGTGTCGTGTCTGTGTGTGTCTGTGTGTCTGTGTGTGTCTGTGTGTCTCTGTGTCTGTGTGTGTCTGTGTGTGTGTGTGTGTGAGCAGGGCACAGCTGGGGTCTGCATCTACCCCAGTCTCTAGCATGATGATGGCAATGACAGAAATCCGCAAACCGTTTCCCTGTAGCGCGGGTCCCCACAGCGCAGGTGGGGGCGGGAGGGCCGGGGCGGGAGAGGCAGCGCGAGGCTCAGCCGATGCTCTCAGCGCCCTCCCGCCACCTGGCGACGGACTATCATTCCCAGCCGCCTGTGGCACAGGAGAGGCCGAAGGCTACAGCCATACCTTTTCCTATCCAATCGAGGGCACTGGGCACGGGAGACTAGGGCATCCAGGGGCTTACTATAGAGTCTGAATGTTGTGTGCCCCAAAATTCGCGTGTTGAACCCTAATAACTGAGGTGATGGTATTGAAAAGTGGGGCCTTTGGGAGATGACTAGCCGTGGGAACTGGCTGTTTGTTGTTTGTGAACGGGATTAATGCCCCAATAGAAGACCCACAGAGAGTGGCCTTGTCCCTCCACCAAATGAGGACACATCTAGGAGGTGAGGTGCCGTCTGTGAGGAGCAGGATTGCACCAGACTCCGAGTCGGCTGGTGCCATGATATTGGAACTCCCAGATTTCAGGACCGTAAGCACTACGTTTATGTTGTTTAAAAATTACCCAGTCTAAGATATTTTGTGACAGCACCCCAGTGAATTAAGACAAGGCTGATTTCTTGGTTTTGCATGGTAAGTCTGATGTTTCAGTGGTATATGCGGGCTGGAACATTAAATAAGTCTATCAAAATATATGCTAGTGGCTCAAAAAAGAGGTACAGGCTAGCTTTATAAAGGATTAGTTACTTTCAGCTACACCTTTGAAATGTAGCTAGAATTGATAATTTCCTCGTCACCTCTGCTGCTGCCATCTTAGTCCAAGCACCGTCATCCCGTTTTGACTATTGCCGTAGCTTTTTTATTTGGTCAGCTCCTTTGACACTTGCCAACCTATACTCTAAACTCCACAGAGCTACCTGGGAAGTTCTTTTCTTCCCCACAAAATCAAATGATAATGCAACTTTATTCCGAACTTGTCAGTAGACTCCCCATACCACTTCAACTAAAATTCAGAGTTTTAACACAGGCCATTGGCACTCGAATGATCTTTCTCATCTTATGGTCTTTCAAATATTTACCACATTATGACCACATTGTTCTGCCTGATGTTCTTAAACATCCAGTGCATGTTCTCCATCAGTGATCTCGCATGTACTTTGTTTGGAGTATTATTCCCCCAAGTAACACCCAGGTCACTCATTCCCCTCATGTCACTTCCAAAATGCTACTTTATCATTCACATCCTCCCTAAGCACTCTATAAAAGGGGATACACCCCTTATCAGACTCTATCACTTAAATCTCATTCCTTTTGATACTTTCATCACCCGATGTTTGCTTTTTTACCATATGTCTTTCCCACTAAACATTTAATCTCCATATTTAAGCAGGGATTTCTGTTGCCATTGCACATTGCTGTATGTCTAGCACCCAGCTCAGTGCCTGGCACATGAGTGGCAGGTATTTGGTATAAAAAATAAGCGAATAAATACATAAAATATCAAGAGCTTAGAAAAGACAGTGTAGGCCATGCATGAAAACACCCAGAGAGTTGGACAAGTGGGAAATATATATACACACACACACATACATTGAAAAAAAACTTTGAAAGGCTGAAAAAGACATGCATATAACAAACGTTTATACAGGACAGCCACAGAGGCTGGAGGAAAACCAGGAGGAAACTGGGAATATATCAAAAAGGAGGGAATATATCAAAAAGGTCAGGGTCATGGAAAAATCAGAAACTGTATATGGACTGGAAACAGGAATGGGAGTCATCAATAAGCATGCGGCATTTTATTTGGGGGGAGTGAGGATTGTTAGCTCACTTGACCATATTGCTGAAAACTAAAGTCCCATGAGCATTCTCTTATGTAGCTCCAGAGCCCACACGCAAGAGCAATACAGCTAAACTGCAGAAGACAGCATGCCAAGAACAGAGACTTACATGAACCTCAGAGGACAGAAGCAGACAGGAGAGGAGAGAAGAGGAGGGAATAGGAGGGATGAGAGAAGAGAAAAGGAAAGCAATGATAAGCCACAACCCAGTGAAAAGTAGATACATTGACATTACAAAGTAATGATAAAATTTGGTTGTACTACTTGTGGGCTATATAATTGTATGTACTGTCACGGCCTATAGTTTATTCATGTATTTACTTTAATAAAATATACATAATAATTTTCTCCCAGAATTGTTTTGAGTAATACGGTTCTCTCTCAAGTGCCTAGCATCATGCAATAAATAACATTTTATTAAGAAGCTTCTTCACAGCCAAGGAAACTGTCCTTAGAGCAAATAGACAACCTTCAGAATGGGAGAAAATATTTGCTTTCTACACATCTGATAAAGGGCTGATAATAAGAATCTATATAGAACTTAAGAAAATCCACCAGAAAAAATCAAACAACCCTATCAATAAATGGGTAAAGGGAGCTGGGCATGGTGGCTCATGCCTGTAATCCTAGCACTCTGGGAGGCCGAGGCGGGTGGATTGCTTGAGGTCAGGAGTTCGAAACCAGCCTGAGTGAGACCCCGTCTCTACCAAAAATAGAAAGAAATTAACTGACCAACTAAAAATATATATACAAAAAATGAGCCGGGCATGGTGGCGCGTGCCTGTAGTCCCAGCTATTCAGGAGGCTGAGGCAGGAGGATTGCTTGAGCCCAGGAGGTTGAGGTTGCTGTGAGCTAGGCTGATGCCATGGCATTCATTCTAGCCTGGGCAACAAAGTGAGACTCTGTCTCAAAAAAGAAAAATGGGTAAAGGACATGAACAGAAACTTTTCAAAAAAAGATTAATAACCAGCAAACATATAAAAAAGTGCTCAACATCTCTAATCATTAGGGAAATGCAAATCAAAACTACAATGAGATATCACCTAACTCCAGCAAGAATGGCCTCTATCAAAAAGTCCCAAAATAACAAATGTTGGCATGGCTGTGAAGAGATTAGAACACTCTTATACTGCTGGTGGGACTGCAAATTAGAACAATCCCTGTAGAAAGTAATTTAGAGATGCCTCAAAGAGTTACATAAAAATACCACTTGAGCCAGCAATCCCACTACTAGGCATCTATCCAAAGGAAAAAAAGACCTTCTATAAATAAAGACATCTGCACTCAAATGTTGATAGCAGCACAATTCACAATTGCAAAGATGTGGAAACAACCCAAATGCCCATCAATACGTGAGTGGATTAATAAAATGTGATCTATGTATACCATGGACTACTACTCAACCGCAAAACACAATGATGATCTAGCACCTCTTATGTTATCCTGGACAGAGATTGAGCCCATCCTTCAAAGTGAGGTATCACAAGGATGGAAAAACATGCACCACATGCACTCACTATCAAATTGGTGCTAACTGACCAACATTAAAGTGCTCACATGGTAGTAACACTACCAGTGCCGGTCAGGTGGGAGACTTGGGGGGCAAACCCACAGCTAATGGAAACGGGGTGCGCTGTACGGGGGAAGGACACGCCCATAGCCCTGGCTTGAGTGAGGCAAATGCATTTCATATAACCAAAATGTTTGTACCCCCATAATATCCTGAATTAAAAAAACGAAAAAAATACTGTTCAATGTATTAAAGTGGAATAGAGGGAGAAAAGAATAGTGACCCTATTGAATATTTTTTTACTAAATTGTTATAAATTATTGAAAAAGAAAATTTTACAAATTCCTTGAGATTGTAATATTGCATGTGAATACATGTATGTACTATTTTAAATTTATGTTTAGCTTAATGATGTATAAGAAACCTGAAGAATATAAAATACAACAAATACAAATTTACCACCACATCTGAAAAAAAGAACATTTTTAAAACAGAAAATGGAATTCGGTCTGTATATAAGAACACAAAAGAGCAGTCTCAAAGGTGGTTAAGGAAAAAGCAAAATAGTGTTATGACCTTGCAAACAATGCTTGCTCCCAGAATAAGAAACTGTGAACGGGCTCTTGTGATTTTCTCATTTCAGCTGGAGGGCTGTTTTGGCTCTACCATAGCACCTGCTTTTTTCTGTCTTGTTATCGTATCTTTTCCTTTTTCTTCCAATTATCATCCCATATCTTCCTATCTTCCCAATCAATTGTGCCATTAAAATTTTCATTCAAAATATATTTACTGAGTGCTGATTGTGTGCTGTGATCTCTCTCTCTCTCAATAGCTGGCTTAAGGGAACACTCATGTGTAGCATGTACAAAATTTTAAATTCTTGTCTGATATATAAATAAGCCACAATTCTCTATCTAAACAGTAGAGATCTTGAATGTGGAAATGTAATATGAGTGGTCCAAATAGTGTTTCTTCCCATTACACATGCGATCTTAATTTTGAAACACATAAATGAAAATGATAGGAAAAATACTCAAAACCTTTTGATATCTCAGTCTGCCTCAGGGGCTCATCTTGTGTTTTCATAGTATCAGCTGCACTTATAACTCTTAGTGAGGACTTTAAGATTTTGTCCTCACCCAATCAATAAAAACAAGGGCTTTCACTCCTGGATCATTGGCCAATGCTCGCTCTTCCCTGAGATTCTTCTGTCAACACAGCCCACTCCCCATGAAGCGTGCCGATGCACACATCTGGAATGTGCAATATACAAAAAGCACTTCAGAAAATTGAATGAAATTCACTTTCAATAAAATTCTTATCATTAATCTTTGCTCTCATCTGATTCTTAACCCATGCCCAGTTACTGGAGACTTAAGTCCTGAGATCATGTAATTTACCGAACATAATTGAGGTTCTATTTTCCCAAGTAGGATATGGGTTCCAGCAAGGAGCTTATCTGTTTTAGATTTTATTAGAGGTCCACAACATTCTGGAAGATCATTTTCCTTAACGAATATTCAGATGAGAAGCTTAACCAGAAGGAAAGGGACATGTTTAGCTGACTTCGTCAGGTAGGCTCAATCCCAAGATACATTTTGGTAAGAATACCTTCTCATTTGTCCTCAAGGCAGTGAATCTGAGTATTGAAAGAAAAGCTGTGTGAGTAAATTGTTGCCTTAAAATTTCACACCATCAAACAATATAAAGAAATAGAAAATGCTCAAATGTGTTTTTGTGATAGAAATAAAAATCACACTGGACAACGGGGATAAGAATGACCTCTCTCAGAGGATTCTCTGCACAACCTGTTTGAGGCCACTGACACATACTGTGTCTTTCATCTCTGTGTTGCTGCTGTATGTGACATCAATGCCACTTTTGTCCTCAGAAAATGTCCATGCATCCTAAGAATATAGTCATGTTCTACAAATGCTTTCATCTGTTGTACTGTTAATTTTTGCCACATTTGCATTAAGTAGACTACAACTGAATAGGACACAAATCATTTTTACAAAGAAAACACATACAAGCTCCAACCGTTTGCTTTATTTTACACTTTCCCCACTTTTCTATGTATATGCTACTATTTACATTTTCTCTCCACCTTGCTCCTTCAGGAAACACACTGTGTTTTGTTGTTGGTAGTGGTGATGGTATTTTTTTCAGAGTACTAGCATTACCTATTTAGAGGTGAATGTGGGAAGAAAAGCACCACAGATAATTCAAAACCATTATTTTATTTAGAAAGGGTGTTTTCTCAGTACAACAACTCAAAATGTTATTACAGATGCTGTAGTTTAGATGTTCCCCAGAAAGCATATATTGCAAACGTAATCCTAAATGCAACAGTGCTGAGAGGCAGGACTGGCTATGCCCTCATGAACGGATTAGTACCCCGGGGAGAGTGCATTTGTTACTGTCAGGGTGAGAGTGGATCTGTTACAAAAGCAAGGTCAGCCCCGCTTATTTTTGCTCATCTGCAGTCCTTTGCCCATCTACCCTCCATTATGGAAGGATACAGCAAGGAGGCCCTCACAAGATGCAGCTCCTCAATCTTGAACTTCCCAGCATCCAGAACCTTGAGCCAAATGAATTTCTTTCCACTATACATTACCCAATCTGTGGGATTCTGTCATAGCAGCACAAAAATGAACTAAAACAGAAAATGAGTACCACGACTGGGACCACTGCCATCACACGTATCTGAAAATCTGGAAGCAGCCTGAAAACAGGGGTAGAGGCTGGAAGAATTTGGAGAAGAAAACTAGAAAATCCTACATTGCCATCACTGGAGCATTAGGGGTGATTCCGTGAGAACCCAGAAGACAAAAAATGTAATAAAGTCTGGAATTCAACTCCTGGGGATTGGGTGGTCATGACCAGACTGTGGGTAGAAATATGGAAGGTAAAGCTGCTATGACGAAGTCTCAGGTGGAAATTAGGAAATTGGGGAGAAGGTATTGGAAACTGGAATGAAGGCCGCAAAGAACTTGACAAAATCGTGTTAACTTCCTAGAACTTTGTGGAACGCAGAACTTGAGAGCACCAGCAGGATATCTGGAAGAAGAAATATGTAAGCAGCAAAGAGTTCAAGGTGCTGCACGGCTGCTTCTGGCAGCTTACAGTAAAATGAAAGGAGAGAATGAAGTCAAGACAGAATTTATAATTAAAAGGGAAGTAGAATGGAATGATTTGGAAAACTCAGCCTTGCCATGCAAAGAATAAAAAAGTATATTCAGAAGAGAATACTGAGGGTATGGCCAGGCTACAGTTTGCTAAGGAGCTTAATACAGATGGAAGAAAGCCAGGTTTTATTCATCGAAACAAGGGAAGAATGACCTCAGAGTCATTTCTGAGGTCTTTGAGGCAAGCTAGGACATTGCGAGCAAGGTGTACAGAGAGCTTCCTGCGGAGCTCACTGTTTGCTGCCCTGCACCACTTTGGAACCTGCTCCCGGAGTTCCTTAGCCGCCCAAGTCAAGGTCAAGGGGACCCATCATTTCAAGATACAAGATGAAAACCATGGCAGTATCCCTGTGGTGCCAATTCTGCAGGTGCACAGAATGTACGAACTGTGGGGCCATGGCAGCTCCGCCGAGATTTCAAAGGATGTTGCTGAGATCCTGGGGACTCAGGCAGACACTTATCCTAGCAAGGAAGCCACCAAATAGACCCCTCCTAAGACAATGCCCCATGAGGTCACAGGAGTGAGGCCACCATGGAATCCCACTAAAGCAATGTCTAGTGGAGTCAGGACAGCGGAGAAGCCTCTGCTGTCCCAGGATTGAAGGGCCGTCAGTGGGCAACTGCAGCCGGGAAGGCATGCAGCCATGACTTTGACCTGTGACAGCTGCTGCATGGACCGAGCCCAGCGGAGCCGCAGGGGCAGAGCTGTCTGCGGCCGTGGGGGTCCAGCCCCCACCGCAGTGCGCCCAGGACGGTGGATATGGCATCAAACAAAGTGATTCTCCAGCGTTAAGTCTCAATGTTGTTTTCCTTCTTGGATTTTGGACTGACTTAGGACCAGTTAGCCCTTTATTCTTGCCTATTTCTCCCTTTTGGAATGGAAACGTTTATCCAGTGCCTGTCCCACCACTGTATTTTTAAAGTACTTAACTTTCTAATTTCACAGGCTCACAGCTGGAGGGAAGTTTGGCTCTGGATCCCCAAAGCCCTGCTCCTGGCTGCCACCACCATCCATTTCCTTCCTCTGGTCCGCTATCCTTCCGCCTCTCCCACCCGACACTCGCCCCCCTGTGGCCCTGGCCTGGAAGCTGGGTCCCCGCAGGCTTCCACTGTTCTCTGGGGACCTGATTCCTTTGCCTCCCAAGACCACCTCTGACCTTCCTTCTCGACTCTTCTCTTTCAGTGGCCTTGCCTTTCCCTGCCACAAACAGCGGGGATGGAGACGTCCACATCCTTGGCCTGTCGGTCCTGGGCCCCGAGTCAGCGGGATGACTCGTCGTCTCTGGGACTGGGGGGCGAGACCCAGAGGTGCGGGTCTGTCTCAGAGCCCAGACCCGAGGGGCAGGACCAGGTGGGGGCCTTTGGGCAGTGGCTCCTAGTAGGGTGGGCAGAGGCATGGCCACAACGTGAGGCGCAGGTGGGCGCTGTGGGCGGAGGACCCTCACGGCCAATGGGGAGGAGGAGGGAGGGACAGGGAGGCGGCTCAGGAGAGGCATCCTGGCCCTCCCTGGCCTGGGGCCGAGTCACAGCTCGGCGCCCCTGGAGGGCTCCTCGGCCTGCCGCAGGCGCGCCCAGTCCTGCGCGGTCTTCTGCAGAGCCTGTGTCTTCTCCTCGTCCACCTGGACATAGTGCACCTCCTCATGCGGGGGGACAGCTGACGGGGGTGGCTGCGGGGACAGGGTAGGGGTGGGGCGCGTGAGCGGCCAGTAAGGGGGCCGAGGCCGCAGGTGCGCTCTGAGCTGTCGGAGGGGAAGGCCCCGCCTGCCTCCCCAGCTGGCCCCAGAGCCGAGCCGGCTTCTTTCCTGTGTGTGGGCTTGGAAGCCTGAACTCCAGCCCGCCGTCCCTCCCGCCGGATGCCATGGCCCTTCCAGATCTTCTTACCTCCCCGCTCCTGGGAGGACCAGCCCTTCCTCAGCCTGGTGCCAGCCAAGGCTTCCGCCTCGGCCTTTGCCACCCTCCTCTGGGCACCCGTCCAGGTGGGGAAATCTGGGTGCCGGCCACGGCGTTACGTGGGTGCCCCGGGGAGCCCCTCCCACTCCGGCCATTCACCCCATGGCTATGTGTGCTGCTTGTGGCAGCTCCCTGGGGCCCAGTGTCCCTTCCCGATGTCACCATTCCAATGCCCAGGGCTGCGGGCCCCGCCCGGATGGAGGGTTCTCCCCGAGCAGAGCTCAGGCCCAGGGCGGGACGGAGCCCCTGCAGGTTGGGTGTCACAGGGCCGGCCGGCTCCGACAGGGCGGAGAGGAGCCCCAGCCCCAACGTGTAGCGCCACGGGCCGTAAACGCCAGCGGGATTTGGTGAGGCCAGGCCAGGATCCCACCCCGCCCCAGGCACCTTGCACAGCTCGAAGTCCAGGGCCACGTAGTTGACACTGCCAGGGCTCTTCCCAGGGGCTGGGCTCTCGGTGCCACGGGGGGCTGGGGACACAGATGCCGGGCTCCCCTACCGCCAGGGAGAACGCCAGTGAGTTCAGGAGACAGACTGGCCCCGCCTGAGAAGTGCCCATGGGAACGGGGCTCCCAGGGCCGGGTCCTGCTCTGAGCCATGCACTGGGACCGCTCCTGCTCTGTCACGCCCTCACGGCGACCCCGAGACCAGACGCAGGTGGCGTTACTGCCCCCGCTGCCAGCACACACAGACCTGCGGTTCTGAGCGCTGGGGGCCTTGCCGGGTCTGCGTGCTGACCCAGACCTGCGTCACCCCCGCACCACGTGGCTTCCCTGCAGGGCATCCGGCCCAGCCCCATCCGTGGCCTCTTCTCAGCCCCACCCCTGCCTGCTGCTTCACCCCTTCTCACCCCACCCCTGCCTGCTGCTTCACCCCTTCTCACCCCACCCCCGCCTGCTGCTTCACCCCTACTCAGCCCCACCCCTGCCTGCTGGCCCCGAGGAAGGAAGGCACGCCCTTCACCCACTGGGTGCGGGGCAGCTTCCTCCTGTCGTGCCTGGGGGCGGCCACACGGAGCAGCCTGCTCCCCCGCTCCCAGAGACCTCGGAGCTGCCCCTGCTGACGACACGCCCCTGGGTCCTGCCCTGGCCCCTCTCTGGGGCTTTCCTGAAGTCCTGCTCCAGTGAGAAAGGCCCTGTGTTTTCTCTTCAAGCTGCTGCCTGGCCGGCCGATTCGCCCTCTCTGCATCTGTGCGGCAATTCCCAAGTGCGGGCAACTCACCCGCGCCAGCGAGCACCTCAGGGACCAACTGCACGGTCTGCCTATGCTGGCGTCCGCCGCGGCCCCACCTACCTGAGTCACGGACACGTGTCTCCCACCGCTGAGCGGGCAGCTCTGGGGCTGCCTCTCCAGGGCAGGTCTTGCCACCGCGCCGGTCACAAGGGAGGCATGCGGCCTCTGTCCCCGAGACCAAGACTTCCTGAGGGGCAGGGGCCACAGTTCCTCTCACCTAACAACCGCCGCTGTCCGCGTGCTCAGGAAGGACTCGCGGCAGCAGACTGGGGCACAGACGGCACCAGGAGTGCCTGGCTCAGGTGAGGAGGCCGAGTGGGGAGGTGGGGACTGAGCGGCAGGCCCTAGGGGACGGTGACAGGTGCTGCCGGCGGCCCCAGGACTCACCACAGGCTCCGGGCTCCCTGCACTGTCTCCGGAGTCTGCGCCGGCGCCGGTCTGAGCGGGGACGGGGCCGTGGCTCGGGGAGGCGCAGCTGTCGTGGGAGAGGACGAGAGGCGCACCGAGCAGGCCTCAGGGTGCTGTCACAGCCTGGCCGGCCCGCCCGCACCCACACGCACTCTCCTCTCAGGTTCGGATCTGACGGGGGGACGATCACCCCTCCACGGGTAGGACATCAGGCCCCATGAGACCCAGGGACGCCCTCAGCTGACATCAGCACCAGCGGCGGATCCAGTGTCCAGACCCACGAGCCAGCAGCCGTCTGCTCGTCTCCCCCAAGGGCTGACCCAGGCTCCCGCGTCCACACGGACACTCACCCGGGCCCAGACCTGGTGGCAGGTGACGTGGAGGAGCATTCACCGACGACGGCGACGCTTCTCAGGGAGAGAGGTGCAGGGTCTGCTGGAGGAGGAAGCAGTGATGACGCCACTTACACACACGCAGGGTCTGCAGAGGCCCCCACACAGCCCAGGTGCACGCAGAGACCGAGCCAGCAGGGTCACATCACCTTTGCCCACGGTGACAGGCCTCAGGGTCACATCTTCGGATCCCACGGTACCTGTGGCAATCATACCGTACTTTCGTAATCCCAAACGGGGACATGTGGTGTGTCATCAGATTTTCTGCCGAGGTCTACAAGCGGAGTGGAGATGGCTCCCGCAAGTGCCCGGGCCACCCCCGCACAGCTGTGCAGCCCACGGAGGAGGCAGCTGGGCGCCGGGAGGCGTGGAGGCCTCCGCTGTGCGCTGAGATCAAAGCCCGCCGGCCAGACCCAAGGGGCCGGCTCCACCTGGCTCCCCAGTCCTCCCGAGCTGGGTGCCGGGCCAAGGCCCACAGGGCGAAGTGGCGGCAGACGGGGACCCCGACCGCAGCTACTCTCGCTGGCCCACGTGCAGGGCAGGGACCCGGTCCCTCTGGACACCTGCCTCATGCCAGAGCCTGTCCTGGCCATTCTCCTAACACACCTGGGAGGCAGGAGTTACTCCCCCACGGCACAGATGGAAACACGGGGGCTGAGAGAATTCCCACGATTGGACCAAAGCCACAAGCCCACGTCTGGGACCCGCCTGGCACCGGCCAGACGCAAACAGTCCCTGGATAATGAGCAGGGGTGGAGGGGCAAGAGCAGGCTTACTTTTCTGGCCAGGCTTGAGGCTGCGGTCGACAGGGGGTGGCAGGAGCTCGCACCCTTGGCTGGGGCCGCGGTGCCCGGGAAGGGAGGTGGTCAGGGAGCCATGCAGGGCAGAGTGGTGGCGCCCTGGGCTGGTGGAGACGCGGACGTCAGCACCTTCCCGCTCCGAGGCCAGCGAGGCGGGGGGACCTGGGTGCACGAGCACGTAGGCCTCTTCGGAACTGGCGCTGTCCGGTCGGCCCGGAGCTGCTTTCCCCGGCTAGGGGGAGAGAGACAGGAAGAAATGCGGCTGACGCTAGCAAGGAGAAACAGGAAGCGGTGGGAGTCTCTACACGAGGCAGGAAAAGTCACGACAAGCCGCTATGGGGTGTTCTGAAGGAAGCTCTCTATCGGGTCAAGCTGGTGGCCACTGTCCTCAGCAGCCGCCCGCGGCCCAGAGAGAAGAGCCCCAGCCAGGATCCACCTGCATGGACCTCTGGGGCTGCTCCCGGGCTGGGCTGGGAGTGGCTCCCATGACACGACCACGTGTGACACCCGAAGAGATGTTAGTGCTCGCAGGCCCTGCGGGCACACAGCTCACCGGGGGCCACGCCCGCGGTGGTCACAGTGGGGGCAGAGAGAGGAGGGGGCACAGCCGCGGGCACTCTCCTCTGCAGCGGTGAGTCTGAGCTGAGGTGACAGCAGGCGCTGAGCCAGACCTGCACGGTCCACACCTGCGCTGGCCTCTGCCCGGTCGGGCTCCAGAAACCTGTGTCACCCGACCACCGAGGATATTTTATCAGCACAGACCTGAGAACTCTGAGTCCCCAGGCAAGTGCCTGGACGGACCATTGACAGGAAGTAGCGGGAGGGCAGGGCCCAGGTCCCGGGCACGAGAGACGCCCCCAGGTTGAAATCTCCGGCCACTGGCGTGCACCTTGGGATGCGGTGTGGGACTTGAACCTGTGTCAGGGAACCGAGCCCTGCTTCTGCACGGAGAACGCTCCCCTGCATCGGCATGGGCGTGAGGCCCGCACCACGCTGGGTCGGCCGAGTGCGCGAGGACACAGGGAGGCCTTGGGAGACGGGAGGAAACGGGGCCTGGGGGTCCCTTCCAGCTTCCCAGCCCCTGGGGCCACTGCAGGGTAAACACCCTTGGTGGCCAGGTGACACAGGTTTCTGGAGCCCGACCAGGCAGAGGCCAGCACAGGTGTGGGCCCTGCAGGTCTGGCTCGGCGCCGGCCGTCACCTCAGCTCAGACTCACCGCTGCAGAGAAGCGTCTCAGGCTCCGATCTGGGCTCACCCTGAGACCTAGGGGTCGCTAAGCTGCAGGCAGAGCTGCCACAGAGCTGAGTGGCTACGGCTTCCTCCAGCTTCTGCCCTGCCTGCCCTTTGCCTTGGTGGCCTGTGGCCTCTGCCCCTCTGCTGCCCCTTGGTGACCTGACCCTGCTCTGCAGGGGCCTGAAGCCAGGCCCTGTCTGCCTGCCTGCCTGACGCCCTGCAGCCCTACGGTCAGCCCCTTCCACGGGGCAGCCTGGGCTCCACCACTGGGTCTGACCCTGAGCACGTTCCTGCCCGGAGTGTCCCACTCAGCACCTTCCTCCACGGAGGCTGACGGTGAGGCTGCTGCCTTGGGGACATCCACCCCCAGCAGGCTGGCCCCTCTGCTCGCCTGCAGCCTTGTGGAGCCTCGAAACTCAGTCTTCCAAGTGCGCACGTTATCCCCACTGCACTGCCTGCGTGCTACCCGTGCAAACACTCGACCGCAGGTCTGAACTTAGACGAGAACAGAGGCACTGCGCTAGGAGGGGACAACTACACTCCGGGGGGCACTCTCACTCCCAGGGTGTGTCCTTTCACGTACCTGAGTCTTCTGAGGACTCTGGTTAACCCGGCCCACCGGGAAAGCACCGCCAGGCTCCCTCATGGACGCGGCAGACCAGCCTGCACTCACTGCACCACGCGGGGACTTCGCACACGTACCACAGGAGCAAGCTGTGACAGAGGAGGGAAAGTGCACACGTGCTCGTGCCGCTGGGCGTGGGCAGTCCCACGGGATCCGTGACACAGGAGGGAAGGTACACACGTGCTCGTGCCGCTGGGCGTGGGGAGTCCCACAGGAGCCGTGACAGAGGAGGGAAGGTGCACACGCGCTCCTGCCGCTGGGCGTGGGGAGTCCCACAGGAGCCGTGACACAGGAGGGAAGGTGCACACGTGCTCGTGCCGCTGGGCCTGTGCAGTCCCACAGGAGCCGTGACAGAGGAGGGAAAGTGCACACGCGCTCCGTGCGCTGGCGTGGGCAGTCCCAATGGAGCCTGACAGAGGAGGAGAAGGTGCACACCGGTCCTGCGCTGGGCGTGGCAGTCCCACGGGAGCCGTGACAGAGGAGGGAAGGTGCACACGCGCTCGTGCCGCCGGGCGTGTGCAGTCCCACGGGAGCCGTGACAGAGGAGGGAAGGCGCAACGCGCTCCGTCGCCGCGGGCGTGTGCAGTCCCACAGGAGCCGTGACACAGGAGGGAAGGTGCACACGCGTCGTGCCGCTGGGCGGGGCAGTCCACAGGAGCCGTGACACAGGAGGGAAGGTGCACACGCGCTCTCCGCTGGGCGGGCAGTCCCAGGAGCCGTGACACAGGAGGGAAGTGCACACCGCTCCTGCGCTGGGCGTGGCAGCCACGGGACCGTGACAGAAGAGGGAAGTGCACACGTGCTCGTGCCCTGGCGTGTGCAGTCCCACGGGAGCCGTGACAGAGGAGGGAAGGTGCACACGCGCTCGTGCCACTGTGCGTGGCAGTCCCACAGGAGCCGTGACAGAGGACGAAGGTGCACACGCGCCTCGTGCCACTTGGCGTGGCAGTCCCACGGGAGCCGTGACACAGGAGGGAAGGAGTCCACATTCCCTCCGCAGCGCTGTCCGGCCTCACTCTCACTGCAGGGCGCTGCTCCAGCCCCAGCGGCCAGGCACTCTGGCACCCCTCCCTGCACTTTCCTCCTGGGCTCCAGACCTGGCACAGTGGGCCTCCCAAGGTCCCCGACTCCGCCTCACGGCCTGCTCCCCCTACCAGACGGGCCGGCGTCCTGCCCTCCAGCTGTCACCTCCGGGAACACAAGTGCCTGCACTTACGCCCGCTCACACACGCCGGTTTCCTTGTATTTTATACACAGACGCGAGCTCGGATGGGCAGCGCCACCTTTTCATACACCTCAAGCGTGTCGGGTCCAAAGCACAGGCTGACGGCCTGCTGTTGCCAGACTGAAGAGACGGCACAGTTCTCAACCAGGAGCCGGGCCAGCACCGCGTCTCCGCCCGCCACCGCCGGCTCTGCGGCGCTGCGTCTCCTACGCGCCGCAGACCCCACCGGAACGCAGGCGAGACCCGTCCCCCCGCCTCTCTCGTGGCCTCAGCACCAGGATGGACGGACAGAGGCTCTGCAAGATGCCGAGCGAAAAGAATTAACGCCCTTCTACTTTCTCACCAGACAGAGGAGCTCCGGCGCGGAGACGGAATACTCTCGTGGAAAACAATATAACAGAATTTAGGGATTTCAAATACAGCTTCAGATTTCAAAGGAATTCAAGTATGGCTTAAAAACATTCCGAAGATCCCTTTTGTTAATAGTCCGCTAGTCCACGTGGCTTTGGCTCAGTTTGGACCGCTCTCCACTTTTTAAATCTTTAGTTTGATTGACACAAATCAGATACAACGACTTGACTCCCGAACCCTAACCTGTGCTCTGGGGTTCCCGAGAACGTCCGCCTCCCTGCAGAGCACTGACCTCCAAGGCGGCCCGCACACCCTCACCCTGCGGATCCCCCACAGGCTGTGCGGGGACAGGCTGGCAGGGCCGGGCAGAGCGCTGACCTCCCCGAGGTGGCCCGCACACCCTCGCCCCGCGGAGTCCCCCGACAGGGCCGTGCGGGGACAGGCTGGCAGGGCCGGGCAGAAGACGAGGCTCAGACAGCCAGCCCTCTGAGTGGCTCCGAGTGCCCTTGGCCGCGGGACCGCGAGTCGGCAGCAGGACGAGCCCCGCGCACCTCCCTCCCTCTGGGCTGCCGCGGGACTGACACTCACCTCGGGGACGTCCGCGGCTGGCCGCGGCAGGAAGGTGCCGTGCCCGGGGGCGGCCCCTGCCCTGGCTCGGTGGCTGCTGTCCAGCAAGAACGTCCTGAGCGCGGCGCGGGCCGAGAGCGGGGTGGCTGGACGCCCACGCCGAGCAGCCGCAGGCCCCCGAGCTCCCGGCACAGGGTGCTGCTGGGCCTCCCGGGGGTGCACACGTCCTCCGCCCGCCTCGGCGCCGGCGGGCTGTCCCGGCCGGCGCCGGCCAGCTGCAGGCAGGGCCCGGGTTGCTGCCCTGACCGCTGGTCCCGGCCGGTCTTTGGGAGGCCGCCGGGGGTCACGTGCGCGCTGGCCCTGCAGTCGCAGCGCCCTCCGCACCAGGCAGGCGTCTGCACGGCCACGCTTCTGCGCGCCAGGGAGGCGGCCCCCGTGCCCTGAGGGAAGCTGGCACTCCTGCGGAGAGAGAGAAGGGAAGCGGCGTGAGAGGTCAGGGCTGCGCCCGAGCTGGCGGGAGGCTCGAAGCCCTGCGCTGCCGGTGCTGTGGGGGATGCACGGCCGAGAGTCGGGGGGCCTGAGGCTCCCCTGGGGCCTGCCCTTTGCTGGCCGAGAGTCGGGCGGGGTCTTCTCTGTCTGAACTTCACACTATGCGTCTGCAAAGGGTGAGTTTGCAAAGGGTGCGTCTGCAAAGCTGCTGAGCGGACGCCCCATCAGTGTCGGGGAACGATGATTTTGAGGCCCCGCTTTCTGCCCAGGCCACTGCGCCTGCAGCAGGGGGACACGCAGAACCCTGGGGACACCCACCGGGCACTCCACCTATGTTTTCTCATCTTACGCTCATCACTTAGCCTTTGAATTCTTCACGCCCATTCTGAAGACAAGGAAACGGAATGTTGAGGAGGTTGAACAAGCTGCAGAGCCTGAATGCGAACCCGTATCTGACCGGCCTGAGCCTGTGCTGTGCTTCCCGCCGCGCCGCCCTGCCTGTCTCTGGTCTGGGACTCGGGAGGGGCAGGTGCTATTCCCAGTCTGGCGCGGGCACCTGCTGCGTCACCCTGCGGGCTCAGGACTCAGCTCTCAGGTGCCGGCCCACAGAGGCCGAGCCGGGGCCCACAGAGGCCGAGCCGGGGCCCACAGAGGCCGAGCCGGGGCGCGGTCGCAGTGAGCCAGCCGCGCTGCGCCAGGGAAAGGCACCGAGGCAGGCTTGGACTGGGCGCCGCAGCCTGGCTGTGTGACAGCAACCACGCAGGAAAGCAGGGCAGCAGGCAGGTGTGGGGAGCGGAGTGCAGACAGGAGTGAGGACACCTGGGCTCCGGTCCCGCCGCTGCCGTGCGTTGTCCATGGCCTCAGGTGCTCCGTGCAATGGGGGCCCTGCCGACACCGGCTGCCTCACGCTGCGTCTGGCTGCTTCAAGCAGGATCACGTGAGAAACACTCTCACACACACCAAGCGGCCGTAACGACGACACGGCCGTTTCTGTATTTGCCCTAATTGTCGTAACCCGAGCCCCACAGTCCTAAATTAACCAAGCAGCGTGGCGTGTGATCCGCTGGCTCCGGCAGCAGCAGGGAGCGGCTCTGGCAAGGCTTCGGCTCTGGTCCTGCCACCCTGACAGCAGGAGCCGGAGGTGGCCGGACGCGCGCACGCTGCACAGCTGCCAGGGCGAGGGCGCCGCAGCACTCAGGGACAGAGACGGGGCTCCAGAGCCGGCGTCCCCGTGGCAGGGCTTCCACCAGAGCGGGAGTGTTTCTGTCCTGTCTGTGCTGCCCAGCACGGTGGCAGCTGCCCGCGTGTGGCGCTGGGCACTGGAAATGTGCCCAGTGACACTGGGGACCGAAGCTTAAATCTCATTTAAATCAATGAAATCTAAATGGCCCTGTGGGGACAGCCGCCATCGCGTGGGCTAGCACAGCCCGGAGCAGGAGTGAGACAGCACCTGTGCGATGTCACCATTTTAAAGGCTTTTGTCGTCTGCAATTCAGAAACTCTAGCCCCTAACGCCATTTTCCTCCGAATAATTTTTTTTTCTGAAGAAAAGGAAGGGAAGGAGGGAGGGATGGAAAAAGGAGGATGGAAGGAAGGAAGGCCAAATCAAAAATTTTTATGGCATTATTTTTTATAATGGGAAGCTTCTCTGGAGCCCAATTACATCCTTGAAGCAGCACAGACAACACCAATAAAACATGAAGGTTACACGGACAAAGAATTATGCTTCATTGCATGCGTGTCTGCCTGGGAAAACACGGCACTTTACTCTTGGCTTTAACAAAACAACAGGACTGAAAAGCCGCAGCTGCGAGGGCGGCTCACGCACCTGCTGGCCGCGGCGCCGGCGCCGTCCTGCCCTGCGGCTCCGGCTCTCCCGCTCAGGCACTGGTGCAGGGCCAGGTAGTCCCGGGGCGCGCTGGCGGGCTGCGCGGGGCCCGGGCCGGGGCGCCGAGCTGTGGACGGGGCTGCGCACCGCGGCTCTCCCTGCGGGTGCTGACGGGCGGGGCGGGGCCCGTGGCTGGCTGAGGACGCACTCCTTGGGGAGTCTGTGAATGACACAGGAAGGAGAGGTGTCCTTTTCCTACAGCCGGCTGTCGGAGGAAGAAAAACAACACGCCGGCAGTGGCCTCCTCTGCCTCTCCCGTGCCTGCCCCGCTGCCCTCCCGGAGCAGGGCTGGGGCCTGGGCCTGGTCTGAGGAGGACACGCTCCAGCTCGGCACAGCCCCTGGGGCAGCCGGGGCCGCTTCCGGCCACCCCGAGCGGCGCTTGCAGGGCCGTGGCCGCCCACGGCCTCCTGGCCCCACGCAAGGCCCGGCCTGGGGTGGAGAGCTCCACACCTCCCTCCTCTTTGGCGGCTCCTGCTGCCACCACCTTCAGAGCTAAGGCTGGCTTTGTTACGTGAGGCCTGCTTTGCCGAGGGTGCTTCGCTGGGGCCTGGACTGTGCCCCACGCACGAAAGACAAAAACACAGGTGTACTTGGAGCTGTCCCTCCAGACTGGACCCAGCCCCTCCTGCCTGCCCCTCCACGCCCCGGGGGCGGCTACGTCCCCCACCCTCCCACTCTCCGTGGGCCTTCTTCTCTAGTAACTCGTGCATCGAACTCTCCCGCTGCCTGAAAGAGGAAGCGAGGTATCCGGCGCAGACAGTGGCGGGAAGGCAGCACGCCCAGCCCAGGGCAGCGCTCATCGGCTGACCCTAACTGTCACACAAGCGCGTATGTCCCTGTAACCGGCCTGGCACGGGCCCTGGCCGTCGGGCTTTCTAAATGCTCCTCCTCAACTGACATGTAGCCAGCTCTGAGAACCGCTGACTCAAACCGCACACCCGCCTCAGAGAAGGCTCCTCCTCAACCACTCCGGACAGCTGAGGTTGAGCCCAAACAAACGCCAAGGGGTGTTTCTACCATTGAAAGCGCGTTCCAAGGAGCTAAACTGCTCTTCTTCGGTGAAGGTTTTCAAAGCCCAGACGTAAAGCACCTGCTCCTCCCACCGCTCCCTCCCAAGTGAGAGTGAAGGGACACCCGGCCCCACCCTGACCACCGCCACCAAGGGCCCCGAGCAAGACAATCCACAGGCACAGAGCCCGCTGCCGCTGTGCAGGGTGGTCTGAGACGGAGGCGCCAGGAAAGCCAGGGACGGCCGGAGGAGGGCCCAGGTGGGACCTTCCTGGGGCATCCCCAGGGTGCAGGGGCGGGAGGGCGCAGGGGCGGGAGTGGCAGGGCTGAGGAACAGCAGTGGTGTCGGCTGCCTGAAGAAATACCACAGAACACGTCCAGCTTCGGCACAGCCCTGCATCCCCTGGTTCCCCATTTGAGCATAACCGGGGCCAGGAGTCCCTTCCACACACGGCTGACCCCTCACCTTCCCCTCGGCCCGCCGCTCCTGTCCACAGCAGGCTCGGCCGGACCTGCCCTGGCGGCCAGGCTGTGGGGCCCGCCCGCCCCTTCCGAGGGGGCCGTGTCTGCTCTCCTACCTCTGCTGTCCGCAGCCCGCTGGAAGCCAGTGACCTGGCAGATGCTCTGAACCCACTTTTTCATGTCCTCCCGCGTCTCGGCCACCAGGTAAAAGGTGCGCTCGCTGGTCTTGACGCCAAACACGAAAGTGCCCCGCAACTCCTTCCTGTTGAGGTTCAGGGTCACACCTGCGGCCACCTGCTCGCAGGAGTTCAAGTCTATGACCCGCAGGGGCTTCTTGGCGTGCTCGTTCTTGTAGTATTCTAGAACGTCCGGGTCGCTGGTTGTGTTGCCCCTCCGCAGGATAAACCAGCGTTTCTTCCAGGCCTAAACCCCGCCAGGAGGGAGCAAGCAGAGGGAACGACTCATTAGCGGGTACAGGGCTCTTAGCCGGTCCTGGGACATCACCAAGTTAAGGGCAGGGGCTTGGGCCTTGCACGTGGCCTGAGCCTCCCTTTCGGGTTTCCCCAGGGTTTCAAAAGTGGAGGAGGAACTGGGAACGCACGTGAGTGTGGCACCTCGCCGTGGCAACAGGCCTCGTCTCCACGCGGTAAGACGCGCGTTCCCACGCTTTAGACCAGGAGGTGCGTGACTTTCGATCGAGTCAGTCACCGGTTTGGATGCTACCTCCACGGGGACCTGCATTCCGAGGCCCACGACCTTGTGCCCCTCACCTTTGATCTCTGTCCTCATTCCCCTCCTCATCCATCTCTGCTTCTGTGATCCATGATGATAATCGCTCCCTTGCTTCTTTCTGCCTCCCCCCACTTTCGTGTACTCATGAAGTCGTCTTTGTTGTCTGTTTTGTTTCTGGCCACACGATCTATCGCATGGCGGTGCAGCCAGGCCCTTCAGGGCGCCCACCAGGGGCGCGGTGCATGCTGCACCCGCTTGACAGCCACCCGCCACCTCCACCTCCACACCCTGCTGCCGTGGGGACACACTGTCCGGCTCCCCCATGAGTGAGAGCATGTGGTATTTGTGTCTGATTCGTTCCAGTTAAGACAACGGCCTCCAGGTCCATCCTTGTTTCTGCAACAACCGTGAGTTCACTCACTCTTTTATGGCTGAATAGTAACACATGGTCTGTAAGCACCGCATGTCCCTTACCCAGTCCTCTGCTGATGCACCCTTAGGTTGATTCCACGTCTCTGCTACTGCAAATAGCGCTGTGGTGAACCTGGGTGCAAGTTTCCTTTTTATACACTGATTTCCTTTCCTTTCCCACGATACTCAGAAGTGGGACTGCAGGATCAAATGGTAGTTCTATTTTTAGGCCTCTGAAAAACCTCCAAAGTGTTTTCCATAGAGGTTTCACTAATTTACATCCCTAGCAACAGTGTATATGAGTTCCCTTTTCCCTGCGTCCTTGCCAACATCTGTTTTTTGTGTTTTTCGCGATAGCCATTCTGACTGGTGTATAAGATGATATCTCACTGTGGTTTTAATTTGCATTTCCCTGATGATTAGTGATCTTGAACATTTTTCATATTGTTCTTGGCCATTTGTTCATTTTCTTTTGAAAAATGTCTACTCATGTCCTTAGCCCACTTTTTAATGCAGTTGTTTTTGTTGGTGGTGGTATCGTCATTGAGTTTCTTAGTCATTCTGGATACCAGTACCCTGTTGGAAGTATAGTTTTCAAATATTTTCTCCCTTCCTGCAGGTTAGCTGTTCACTGGTTGATCATTTCTTTTGCTGCCGAGCGCCAAATTGATATGCTGATCTGGCAAGATTTGAGAGAGATCTGAAGGCATTTTCTAGAAGATGCAAATGCTAAAGACCTAATTGAAAGCAAGTTCCTCCTGACTCAGTTAAAACCTTTGGCTGTCTTCTTGCCTTAGCTTCCTACATCATACATGTAAACTCAACATAACAGGGAAAAAAGAAAGGCAAGGTTTTCCTTTAGGAAAGAATTTACCACTCAGCTGACTGACAGAATAGGCACTGGTTGAGCTGACGATATGATAAAATGGCTTTCTTAAAGAAATTTCTGTTGGAATGCAATGAGAAGATGAGAAATTGTTTTCTAGCTCTAGACTGGAACTCAGGAGACCTGGCTTCTAAATCTAACATTCAAACTCACTCATTCCGAGACCTTGAGTACAAAGAAACTGTTTTTTTTTTTTGTTTTTTCTTTTTTTTGAGACAGAGTCTCACTGTGTTGGTGGGCTAGAGTGCTGTGGTGTCAGCCTAGCTCACAGCAACCTCAAACTCCTGGGCTCGAGCGATCCTCCTACCTCAGCCTGCCAAGTAGCTGGGACTATAGGCATGTGCTACCATGCCCGGCTGATAAAAAAATATATATATATATACATATATATATATATTTAGTTAGTTAGTTAGTTGTAAAGCTAATTTCTTTTTCTTTTTTTTAGTAGATGTAAGGCTGGTGACCTGCCTCCCTCCCCCTCACCTCCCTCTGCCCTTGCAGCCTAGCTGAAACTGCAGCTCTTGCCGATGCAGTCCTAACCACATCCTGTCAGCCAAGACAAAGCAGGAAGACGTCCTGGTGCAAAGCATCCTGCCCGGACCCATCCTGAAGCCCCCAGAGACTGCCAAAAATAACGGCCAACCCCCTATAAAAGCCAGCTCACAGTCCCGGGCAGTGTGGCTTCTCAGGGCCCCCTCTCTTAGGACCCGTGAACCTCACCCGGGAGCACTCAGTAAAGCCACGATGTTTGGCCCCACTCTCTCTCTCCCTCTCTGCGTCTTTCGCCAACACAAACCTTACAGTGATGGGGTCTCGCTTTTGCTCAGGCTGGTTTCGAACTCCTGATGGCCGCCTCAGCCTCCCAGAGTGCTAGGATTACAGGCGTGAGCCACCGCACCAGGCCAGAAACTGGGTTTTGACTGCATTGACTCAAGCTGAATTTGGGAAAGACTAATGTGTTAACAATATTGAGTCTCTCCACCCACCAACATGGCACATTTATCAATTTATTTAGGTCTTCTTTAATTTCTCTCAGCAATGTCTGGTAGTTTTCAAAGCAGAGATACTACATATAGTTTTATTTTCAAATATTTTATGTTTTCATTCTATAATTAACAATACTTCATTTTATTTTCTGCTTATGCAACTGTATTTCTATGTACTGGCAACAAAGTTTGTATATTGACCTTTACTCCTGTGATCCTGCTAAATTCACTTAGTTGTGACATGGAATTTTAGGGGTAGATTTCTTAGAAGTTCCTCTGTATACAATCATGTCTTCGGAGAATAAAGGCAATTTCATTTCTTCCTTTACAATCTTCATGCCTTTTTATTTCTTTTTACTACCTTGTTACACTGACCAGAACCTCCAGTCCAACATCCCATAAAAGTTGTAAGCACAAACATCCTTGCTTTGCTCTTGACCTTAGGGCAAAGCATTCAGTATTTTATAAGTCAAAATCACATTAGCTGTTGTAGGATTTTCAGTGATATAAGTAACTTCCTAATCTTTTTCTGAAGTTTTGTCAAATACTTTCTTGTATCTATTGAGATGATCAAGTGAGTTTTCTCCTTTATTATTTTAATTGCATGAACCACACCATTCTGTTTTCAAGCGTTAATCCACCCTTGCATTCCTTGCATTATACAAACACCTGGGGCAAATACGTGGCAAAGCCAGAATTGAAACCCTGCAGCCTGATTTCAGAGGCTCTGCTTGCTCTTCTGCCCATGTTGCCTGACTGACATGAATTATCTGGGTGGGGGGAGATGAGAGGAACAACGGTGAGGGTGGCCGTACACACATGGAACTGAGGTGGACACGGAATACAACACCCAAATCTACAGGCAGATGTCTGAAAGCTGCTGCTTGCTCAGCTGCAGTCTTCATCCCCCCAACACTCTTGTGTCACCTGTAATTTACCTGAAACCCTCTGCATCCGCACTGCGAACCTGCACAGCGGCCCTCCCTGAGGCTCACTGCTGAGGTGGCTCTTTTGCGTCACTGCAGGCAGATGCTATTTTTCTCCAAGCGGGTATTTGCTAGGTATAAGGCACAGTACTAAGGCTTTTACTGGAGTTGTTTTGCATCTTCAGGACAACGTAACAGCTTAGGTCCGCTGTCCTCACTTCTCAGGCGGGGAAATGAAGGCACGGGGACACGGACATGGTCAGTGGTGCCAGACTCCTGGGCTCTCTGACCAGTGGGGCGATCTCGAATCTGACAATATCGTCACTTTGCCTTCATGCTTAAGAAGTTCCCACTGGATAGAGACTCCTCCCGTCAGCACAGCCCCGACAGAGCCCCCAGTCCCCGCCGCCTCCCCCGCCGCACTCACGAAGTGCCGCAGCTTCTTCTCGGGCGGCGACTTCCTCAGCCAGCCGGTGCGCACGGCGCCGCCGTCCGCGCTCATGTCCCCACTCATGTCCCCGCAGGACGGGCGCCGGGTCGGGGGCCCAGAGGTGGCTGTCCCCGCTCAAGCCGCCGCAGGACGGGCGCAGGGTTGGGGGCGCAGGTGTCGCCGCGCGTCTGGGTGCGGGTGCCGCTCGCGGGGGGCGGGGGATGGACGAGGAAGGGCGACAAGGAAGGGCGCGTCCGAGGACGGGGCGACAAGGAAGGGCGCGTCGGAGGACGGGAGTGACAAGGAAGGGCGCGTCCGAGGACGGGGGCGACAAGGAAGGGCGCGTGCGAGGACGGGGGACGGCTAGAGCGGGACGGACACTGACAAGGATGTGCCAGGGCGCCCGCGGGCGACGGCAAGAACAGGGACGTGGGGGCGCGAGGATGGGTCCGGAGCGCGAGAGCGGGCAAGGAGGGACGCAGGACCCGAGGAAGGGTGCGGGGCGCGAGGAAGGACGCAGGGCACGAGGAGGGGTGCGGGGCGCGAGGAAGGACGCGGGGCGCGAGGAGGGGTGCGGGGCGCGAGGAAGGACGCGGGACGCGAGGAAGGGCGCGGGTGGCGAGGAGGGACGCGGGGCGCGAGGAGGGGTGCGGGGCACGTGGAGGGGTGCGGGGCGCGAGGAAGGACGCGGGGCGCGAGGAGGGGTGCGGGGCGCGAGGAAGGACGCGGGACGCGAGGAAGGGTGCGGGGCGCGAGGAGGGGCGCGGGGCGCAAGGAGGGACGCGGAGCGCGAGAGCAGGTGAGAAGGGATGCGGGACACGAGGAAGGGTGCGGTGTGCCAGGAGGGGTGCGGGACACGAGGAGGGGTGCGGGGTGCGAGGAGGGGTGCCGGGTGCGAGGAGGGACGCGGGTGCGAGGAGGGACGCGGGGCGGGAGGATGGGTGCGGGGCGCAGACCCGGATGGGGCGAGGGCGAGGGCGCAGACCCGGATGGGGCGAGGGCGGGAGCCCACAAGGGCGGGGCTTAGGCCAGGACTGGAGCCCAGTAGGGCGGGCACGGGCGCCAGGACGGGGAGGGGGGGCACGACCGGGGCGCGGACGGGGGCCGGGACGGGAGGCGACGGGGGTGCAGACGGGGGCCGGGACGGGGGGGGGGCGACGGGCGGCGCAGAGGGGGCCCTGGACGAGGGATGACGAGGCGGCGCAGACCAGCGGGCCAGGGACGGGAGGCGACGGGGGTGCAGACGGGGGCCAGGACGGGGGGGGGCGGCGACGGGGGCGCAGATGGGGCCCTGGACGAGGGACCACGAGGGCTCGGACGGGGCCGGGATGGGGGGGCGACGAGGGCTCAGACGGGGGCCGGGACGGGAGGCGACGGCGGTGCGGACGGACGGGGCCCAGGACGGGACGCGACGGGGAGCGCGGATGGGGGCCGGGATGGGGGCGACGGGGGCCGGGACGGGAGGCGACGGGGGCGCGGACGGGGCCCGGGACGGGAGGCGACAGGGGCGGGGACGGGGCCGGGACGCCTGCCGAGGAGGGCGCCGGCGAGGCCAAGATCGAAGATGTGACCTGGCGAGGGTGCAGGTGGCGACGGGCATCGTGGCGGGTGGCGGGGGGCGGGGGACGGCAGACCGGGCAGACGAGTCCCACGCCTGGCCCCTGGCAGGAACCTTGACAGAAGCAAACGCAGCACCCCGACCCTTTTATCTGTGGTCTCAAATAGTAGGCAGCGACTGGGGGTGGGGGAGTTTAGTGTTAGGATTAACGGTTTGGGTTTAGGGATTAGAGACAAAGTTCGGGTTGGGGATTAGGAGTTAGTGATAGGGATTCTGGTTAGGGATTATATGTAAAGTAGAGTTAGGGTAGGGCTTCAGGATTCAGGCTAGAGCTTTGGAATTCAGGGTTTGGGGTTCAGGGTTTTGGTTAAGGTAAGTGTTTGAGTTAGGGTAAGGTGTAGGCATGGGGTAGGGTTAGGGGTTAGTCTTAGGGTTGGGGATTAGAGTAAGGGATTTAGGGTTAGCGTTGGTGTTGGGGTTTGGCAAGGTTAGCATTGGGGTTAGAGTTTAGGGATTATATATGGAAATAAAATAGGACTTAGAAATCAAAAATATATTAATACTGATTTTTACATGGTATAGTTACTTTTATTGGTGTTTGTTATTTCTTTCTATGGATTTGAGTTACTTTCTAGTGTACTCATTTGGCCCTGAAAGACTCTTTAGTGTTTCTTGTAGGGCAAGCTTACTAGCAATAAATGCTCTCAGGTTTTGTTTATCTGAGAATGTCTTGATTACTCATTCATTTTGGGGGAGTTTTGCCAGATAATGACTTCTATTCCACGGGCAGAGAATGAGATTGACCATCCTGATTGTGCTTTGGGTAACTAAGGAAATGACTAACAGGTAGACTGCTGGATCACTTGGATCTAGTATTTATCAGAACTGGGTCAGAACTTCATTTGTCACCTGACCTTCATAAGTGCCTATTCTCATCTGGGGACTTTGGGACCCCTGGAATCATGCCAGCTCAGACCTATACCCAAAAGCCCTGGAAATAAGTGTTCTTTCCCATTGACCAGTTATCCAAGGAAATGACCATAGGTTTCTTTGGGGAAAGGACTGAGAAAATCCCTCCTCAGGTGATTTTTTTCAGATTTATGTAAATCATTAACTGTAGGTACTATGGAATAGCTAGATCTGTCTCCAGTTGGACTTATTCCTCTTGTAATTGATGTGTTCTCAGACCGTAAACTGGCTTAGTTCTGAAAATTGAGAGGGATCACAACTTTCTACTAGCCCTCTACTCATTCTCCCCTTCTCTCGGTATGCATAGTATTTATACGTAGATTTACATGCACGTGCAATTCCTTTGTTGGCTGCCTGTTTATCTTGCCCCTACGAATGCTATGGGTTTATTGGTCACCAACAGGGATCCCGTGGGTACATTGGGTAAAGGTTGGTTGTCACTGTGGCTTGCCATCAAAGACAGCGATTATATAAGCCTTGTTTCTTGTCGTTAATTGCTATCCCTCCCAGCTCCTGCTTTTCTGTATTCCTATCAGCCTATGAGACCACCCTGTAACAGCCTCTTCTGATATCAGCCTCCACCTAGAGTGACAGCCATTGCCGAGTCTCTGCACATGCCAGTCCCTCCCCACCCAGACATCTCATCCAATTGAAAACAGCATTCTCTGTTCTCCCCAGAGCAATGCCATCAGTTGGTGTGTTTTCTGGGTGCATATGGTGGATCCATCTAGGATGCTTTCTTGTCTGAGTCTTTTGATCAGTTCCTTAAAGCAGTGCTAGCATCTCCACCTTATTTCACGTGAGACATCTTCCCCCCCTTAAAGCTTAACCCCTCCCAGCAGTGTATCGGAACCATCTGTGTCCTGCAGTGCTTGCCTCGGCCTTAAATCGCCAGCCCTGGGAGAGTGGGTGTTCCACCTCGCTCGGCCCCGGCGCCCTGAAGACCCAGCCCTAGGCGCACTGTCCTGGTTCCTGATTATACATTTTGGTGAGTAATTGTAGCTTGTTTATAAACAATTCTGTTAGTCTGTTCACATTATTGGCATTACCCCAGGTGGGTTATCACGTGACTTGGCAGCATGTTGGTCTAGAGTTCAGGAGCAGAAGTGGGGTGTGAGTTGTGAAGGGCAAGTGTTGTGCCAGCAAGATATCTGCCTCAGTTGAATTTCTGCATGGACATCAGCAGAGGGATGATATTCTCTAGTGGGACAAGTGGCCAATATTGCTTAGAGGCCTTAGGGGAGCTGAATCTTTAATGGTTTCATGTTCATCCACACACAAGCCCCCATCGCAAGTTCCAGGGTCCCAGCTCTCCCCCATCGGGACCGTCACTCAGGCATAGGGAATTTCCTCAGACTGCACACACAGCCTTCTCTGAAGTTATACTCACTCACAGTTGGGTTCTGGGCCTGGTCTTTGGTCGTCTGCCCTCTGGTCACAAGAAATGAAGTTTTTTTGTGGTTTCTTTCTTCTAGATGCAATCATGAGGGCTTTCTGATTTTCACACGTCTTAAATTTGTGATTGGCTAATTTGAGACTGTCATTTTCTCTCTTCAGTTTCTCCATTTTGCACGGTGGTCCTTATTATTTATTACTATTTCCCCATAGGTTGTAATTGCCAAAAACAACAAACAACCCAGTACACACCCTTCCATCCCTATTTCACCCCAATTCTCCATGGGTGAAAGCTTTAGTACAAATCTATGACATAACAGGAGCATTTAACACTACATTTACCGCCACTGATGGGGTTCATTTTGCTACCTGGTCAATGAGTTATCTGGCTCCTGAATTTTATTCTTAAATCTGTTTCCTAGAGCCATTTCTAGTACCTACTCTCTTCCATTAGATTCCCTGTGATGTAGTTTTGTTTTTTTTTTTTTTAGCTACTACTGGCTCTGAGTATGTGATGTAGTTTTGTGTGCAAATGTCTCATCAAAGTGTGCAAATTAATAATGAAGTGAGAAAAATAGGACAGGAAAGTGGAGAATCCGAGTAAGAGTGAAACTTCAGGTAAGGTCTTATGGTGGATAGCTTCCGCTGATCACACAGAGAACTGGAAAGTGGTGACATGTCAGACATCTGCCGGAGACAGGACGTGGGGATCCATGCGTGGTACCCCTTAGTCGTTGGCTAAGGGCAGCCTGAGTGGATATGGGCCCCTGGGTACTTTCAGTTCTGGGCAACGCGGCCCCAGTAGCCCAAGGGTGGTGCTTCAAGAAGAGATATAACTGCACATTTCTGGAGGACAGAACCCAAAAGAACTCCAAAGCCGAGGTTGGGGCACCCAGAAAAACAAATGTCCCAAACTCCCAACAGGGACTGCTATGTGAAGCTATCTGCTTTGTTGTCCTTGAAATGAAAGGACAGGCTCAGGTCAGCTACCCTGAACTCAAGGCAAGCTTTAAAAGCTTTTTTTTTTTATTTAAAAGAAGTAAATAAAAGGATGAACTTTTGACTTTAGGGCAGTTTTCTATTTACATTATTGCAAAGATGGTACACAGTTCCCATGTGCCCTGCACCTAGTTTTCTCAGTCGTTAACACCTTATTATATCAGAACGGTACTGTCTTGCGGTCTCAGTCTGCTTGTCTAGCTATAACAAAATACCACAGACTGGGCCATTTACAAATAGAATTCTTC